ACAAAAGATAAGGATATGAGGAATAGCTAACCTTTGGTGGAAGAAACATGATGAACGGATAAGCCAAAGCAGCTATTGCTTGCCCAAAAATACCAACCGGAAAGCGCATTTCACCAGGCACAAACGAGCTAAAAAATTGTATTAAATTAATCCATGAAAAAGGCCATGGTAAATGTAAAGCAGTAAGATCGCACAGGCAACTGATGTGAAATGCCATGTTAGTAATGTTACTGGGAGCATCAACATGCCAAGTGCAGTTTGTCGTCAAGCCTTTCGACCCTGGATTGCATACTTCTAGTCAATACCCACTGCCTGTTGTCGCGGAAAACCCGCGAAAACTCGGTCAAGAAGCCGCCACAAAGAAAAAAGGTGAATAAAAAGAAAGGGGTACCCTACCTTCAAAGGCAGATACACAGTAGATGTGCTGCCAGGCTGAACATGGAGCACAAGGACCAGTGGTGTAGTGGTAACACATTCCATCTAGACGTGAAAAGGAGTGGTTCGATTCCCTCCCGGTCCAAAACAATTTTTGAAAAGGGGCTGTTCGATATATGTGCGCCACATCTGTAATAGCCATCCACTGGCGTTAACTTTCATGTAGGATCTATTCACTAGCATGCAGCAGTACGCCCTGCCCATCAAATTTTATTTCCGCGTGTGTTCACAGTGAGACTGCACAAGCGGTTCATTTGACGAAGAGCCTGACTGTTTATATGATCACGAAGAGACACTTCAAGCATCCTTCGCTTCACCGCTCTCTCTCTGATACAGTCAGCGCTTGTTCTTCTGCTTTCATCAGTGATCACGTTTCGCACCCGTTACCGAAAATATCAATTCAAAAATTAGGAAGCCTTACCTGACAAGACGAATGGATCCGCCAATACCATTTGCCCAAGCAGCAATAAGAATAGACAGCCGAAGTCCAAATGAACTTCCCATCCACATAGAAAAAAAGCCTACCGGAATTGTACATATTATATAGACCAGTGAAAACCAATTAGCCGCATTATGCTGTAAAAAGACAAAAAAAAAATTTGATTTCACAGTCATATCTCCAATAATAATGAATATATCTAGGCAGTTTCCTATTTTTTTTTCGAATTTATCCTCTACTGGTAGGCTTATGGTAACAAATGATAGGTTTGGATTTAGGCTCAAAGTTTGTGACTCGATTGTGCCAGTGAGATAACCAATTACTCTGCGATTCGTTCATTCGTTTATACAGTAATTTGACATTAGCACATGCCAGAGGATCATCAGAATCTAAACATTTCCAAGAAAGGATTAGCACAGGATTAGCATATTTGGTATTAGTTTATGTGACCAGACGGTTGGTTAACTGCTGGCTATGTGCTAAGCAGCATGCACAGAAATCTAATGAATTTAAAACAAAATTTTAACACTTCAATTATGCCCAGTAAATGGATGTTGGAGAAAAAAACAGCAGTGGAAAGTGCCAACAATGCCCAGCAATAACGAAATTATTAAAAAAAATTTTTTTGAAAATGGAAACGGAACACAAAAAATGAATTTAAAACTGAATACAACAGTAGCACAGTGGAGAAGATGGAGAAGATCCATGGGGAAACGGGGAAATGAAGACGGATATGACGATTGTCAACTGCAAAAATAGCATAATTTAGGCTAAAACAAATACAAAAAATATTCGACAGAGTACAGACTGATAAATGTGTTCGTATAAAAAATGCTGTCCATGTTTCATCCCTTAGCTATAAAAGAAAGACTGATAAAATTCACGTTACTGAAGCAATTTTGATGAATTTTTGTACCAAAATCGTTAGGCTGCTAATTCTCTACGAATTCATCCATGCTTCATGCCTAGTGATAAAAATACTCATGAAGTTTCAAATTTTCGTAGTAAAATTTCATTATCATTGACGAAGTTTTTCTTTTTTATAAATTTTTCACAAGAATTTCATAAATTTTACGAATTTTTTATCAAATTATTCAAAGCAAACGAAAAACAAAAAAAAAAAGATTACTAACCATTCCGTAATATATATCCACATAATTGGAAATGGAAGCAAATGCAATC